AAGACCATCGCTAAGCAGCTTGGTGAGAAGGTGACAACAGTTGGTGCGATTATTCGCAAATGGAAGAAACACAAAAGAACTGTCAATCTCCCTCGGCCTGGGGCTCCATGCAAGATCTCACCTCGTGGAGTTGCAATGATCATGAGAATGGTGAGGAATCAGCCCAGAACTACACGGGAGGATCTTGTCAATGATCTCAATGCAGCTGGGACCATAGTCACTAATAAAACAATTGGTAACACACTACGCCGTGAAGGACTGAAATCCTGCAGCGCCCGCAAGGTCCCCCCCGCTCAAGAAAGCACATATACAGGACCGTCTGAAGTTTGCCAATGAACATCTGAATGATTCAGAGAACTGGGTGAAAGTGTTGTGGTCAGATGAGACCAAAATCGAGCTCTTTGGCATCAACTCAACTCGCCGTGTTTGGAGGAGGAGGAATGCTGCCTATGACCCCAAGAACAGCATCCCCACCGTCAAACATGGAGGTGGAAACATTATGCTTTGGCGGTGTTTTTCTGCTAAGGGGACAGGACAACTTCACCGCATCAAAGGGACGATGGACGGGGCCATGTACCGTCAAATATTGGGTGAGAACCTCCTTCCCTCAGCCAGGGCATTGAAAATGGGTTGTGGATGGGTATTCCAGCATGACAATGACCCAAAACACATGGCCAAGGCAACAAAGGAGTGGCTCAAGAAGAAGCACATTAAGGTCCTGGAGTGGCCTAGCCAGTCTCCAGACCTTAATCCAATAGAAAATCTGTGGAGGGAGCTGAAGGTTCGAGTTGCCAAACGTCAGCCTCAAAACCTTAATGACTTGGAGAAGATCTGCAAAGAGGAGTGGAACAAAATCCCTCCTGAGATGTGTGCAAACCTGGTGGCCAACTACAAGAAACGTCTGACCTCTGTGATTGCCAACAAGGGTTTTGCCACCAAGTACTAAGTCATGTTTTGCAGAGGGGTTAAATACTTATTTCCCTCATTAAAATGCAAATCAATTTATAACATTTTTGACATGCGTTTTTCTGGATTTGTTGTTGTTATTCTTTCTCTCACTGTTCAAATAAACCTACCATTAAAATTATAGACGGATCATGTCTTTGTTAGTGGGCAAACGTACAAAATCAGCAGGGGATCAAATACTTTTTTCCCTCACTGTAAGTGCAACATGTAAAGTGTATGTCCCATGCACACAAATGTGTTTACCTCCCTGTTAGTGAGTATTTCTACTTTGCCAAGATAATCCATCCACCTGACAGGTGTAACATATCAAGAAGCTGATTAAACAGCATAATCATTATACAGGTGCACCTTGTGCTGGGGACAATAAAAGGCCACTAAAATGTGCAGTTTTGTCACACAACTCAATGCCACAGATGTCTCAAGTTTTGAGGGAGCGTGCAATTGGCATGCTGACTGCAGGAATGTCCACCAGAGCTGTTGCTAGATAATTTAATGTTAATTTCTCTACCAGAAGCCGCCTCCAACGTCATTTTAGAGAATTTGGCAGTACGTCCAAACGGCCTCACAACCGCAGACCATGTGTATGGCGTCGTGTAGGCGAGCAGTTTGCTGATGTCAACGTTGTGAACAGAGTGCCCCATGGTGGCGATGGAGTTATGGTATGGGCAGGCATAAGTTACAGACAATGAACACAATTGCATTTTATCGATGGCAATTTGAATGCACAGAGATACCTGGACGAAATCCTGAGGCCCATTTTTTAAAAGTTATCTGTGACCAGATGCATATCTGTATTCCCAGTCATGTGAAACCACAGATTAGGACCTAATGAATTTATTTCAATTTACCTATTTCCTCATATGAACTGTAACTCTTTGAACTGTAATTGTTGCATGTTGTGTTTATATTTTTGTTCAGTATATTTGTCTCCGTTTCAATTCAACACATTCAACCTTGGCAGCTAAGGGGTTTCACATGAAATACGTTTCCATGGTGTGGTTTCCATACGGTACGATGGTGTGAAAACCCCCAAAGTAATATGTCTGGCGATTGACAGGATGCCTTGTGATCTGCTTCTTTGTAAAATAATTATTCTCTCCCAAATTAGAGAATAGTAATGACAAATAAAATGGGTTTCTGGTAACAAAAGGATTACACCCCTCTAGAGATGGATGCTAGTCTTGTTAAATAAATACAATTCACTCGTGAATTATTACATAGAAATCCAATACCTTTAATTTTACATTCACACATCTAGAATTGTACAATAAGTTGAATGCAGTTAAAAAAAAAAAAAGCCCAATCCCAAAACAAGTCCTGAAGATTTACAGCTCGAGCAATGATGAATTTGCATGTCGTAAGGTGAAAAGTATTAAAAAATATATACACACACACAAGAAAAACTAGGACTAGTGCTGTCCTTGAGTTGTACCTTTTAATAAACAGAACTGGGCTGAATGGAAAGGAATTCAGTCGCTATAGAAAAGGCACCTTTAGTACACAGTACAAACATCTGGACACTTATACACCTTTTAGCTTCTAGTACAATGACAACTGGAAACCTTCACGTAACGAAAAACATCACATCTATACAAATACATTTTGAAGCAAAATATCTTCTTGGTCATACCAAAGCAGTACCTTGAAATGCATATTTTAACATTTAGTTCTAGATTGGCTCTGCCAGCAGAGGGCAACCCAGTGGATATAGCTAATTAATTACACAGTAAGTCACAATATTTACGTATGCAGTCGCCCGCTTCATTGATTGTTAACTATTGGCGACAGTAGTAACGTACGTACACCTCATCATGCATCATTTTGTCCACTTCTTAGAGCAGCGGTCATTTCTTGAAGTTCAGAAAAAAATTATTTAAAAAATGTTTAGACAAGTTTTCCTTTCACATGAAAAAGGGGGCAAGTCTACATTGTGTAACATCTAAATAGAAAAAGTATAGAAAATTCGATCTCTATACAGCCAGAAATACCATTTACCTTAAAATATACTCCCACCCTTGAATCGAAATGTCAATACTTTCAGAAAAGTAATTTGATATAAAATACTGTATCCTTAACTGAATTTTTTTTATGTAACATTCCTTTTTCCTCAACAAAATAAAAGCTTTTTTATATATCTCCAAAAAGGTATAAACAAACACAATTATATCTATATGTTTTTTTTTATATAGAAAACAATAAAAAGTGACCAAGATACCATAGGTGGTTCTACGTTCACATGTTAGAGGAAACCCGTTTAGAAATGGCAATACACTGCCATATTCCAGGATCATCATCTGATACAACACAGTGTGGCACAGGTTATGGTACTGGTTACTGGCCATGGTTAAGATTTGCCCCCCCCCCCCCCCCTCCCCTCCCTGTCTGTTGGTCTATCGGCCTGATCCAGTTCAGCATGCCTTGGTCAGGTCGGTTGATCCATCTGCCTGATCCAGTTCAGCATGCCTTGGTCAGGTCGGTTGATCCATCTGCCTGATCCAGTTCAGCATGCTTTGGTCAGGTCGGTTGGCAGCTCTGTAGTGGACATGCGGTACTGGATCTTGGTGTTGGTAATCGCTCCGTGTTTCTGTCTAAGGTGCAATCGAAGCTGACTCTTGTGGCGAAAGTGCAAGTTGCATTTCTCGCACTGAAAAATAAGGGGGGGGAAATGGCTCGGTTTTCTGTCCATGAATTCTTTCTGGTTTAATAGCAGACACATCTGGATTTCAGTATATATATATATATATATATATATATATATATATACACATACACACACACACCAATGCAACACTGACTGATTCAATTGTGTAGTTGGTGTACTTCCATGATAGGGTGTGTATTATGGTGTTGTACTTCCATGATAGGGTGTGTATTATGGTGTTGTACTTCCATGATAGGGTGTGTATTATGGTGTTGTACTTCCATGATAGGGTGTGTATTATGGTGTTGTACTTCCATGATAGGGTGTGTATTATGGTGTTGTACTTCATGATAGGGTGTGTATTATGGTGTTGTACTTCCATGATAGGGTGTGTATTATGGTGTTGTACTTCCATGATAGGGTGTGTATTATGGTGTTGTACTTCCATGATAGGGTGTGTATTATGGTGTTGTACTTCCATGATAGGGTGTGTATTATGGTGTTGTACTTCCATGATAGGGTGTGTATTATGGTGTTGTACTTCCATGATAGGGTGTGTATTATGGTGTTGTACTTCCATGATAGGGTGTGTATTATGGTGTTGTACTTCCATGATAGGGTGTGTATTATGGTGTTGTACTTCCATGATAGGGTGTGTATTATGGTGTTGTACTTCCATGATAGGGTGTGTATTATGGTGTTTGTACTTCCATGATAGGGTGTGTATTATGGTGTTGTACTTCCATGATAGGGTGTGTATTATGGTGTTGTACTTCCATGATAGGGTGTGTATTATGGTGTTGTACTTCCATGATAGGGTGTGTATTATGGTGTTGTACTTCCATGATAGGGTGTGTATTATGGTGTTGTACTTCCATGATAGGGTGTGTATTATGGTGTTGTACTTCCATGATAGGGTGTGTATTATGGTGTTGTACTTCCATGATAGGGTGCGTATTATGGTGTTGTACTTACATGATAGGGCTTTTCTCCTGTGTGTATGCGCAGGTGACTCTTCAGCGTCTGCAGGTGACGGAAGCGAGTTCCACAGATCTCACACGGGTATGGCTTCTCCCCGGTGTGGATCAACACATGGGCACGGAGATGAGCAACCTGACGACAACAACATGAGACTACTGGGTCAGTGTGGTGGTGGTGGCGAGTGATCACAGCATCTATCCAAGCCATTTATTTTAGATTTAGTTTCAGGAATAGTATGAAATGAGAAAGAGGGATATTTAGCATAGCGGTGGGGTCGGGGGTCGGGGGGGGTCGGGGGTCGTACCCACACTGTGCTGCAGAAGTCGGCATTACTCAGGCAGTAAGACAGTTCTAGAAAGTCAATAGCTACATTGATTCCTTCTGTAACTTGTTGAAACGAGACAGAGAAGGCTCAGCTCACCTGCACGAATCGAGCGCCGCACGTCTCACATTTGTATGGCTTTTCTCCTGAGTGGATGCGAGTATGGGTCTTGAGGTTAGCTGGTCGGTTGAACTGAGCACCGCAGATGTTGCAGCGATACGGCTTCTCTCCTGCAACAAAATATAGACCAAACCGTTAGCTACCAAACTTTACTGAAATTACTTCTGGGTTATTTGACAGGGACACATTGATCAACATTATGTGATGGATTTAGCAAGCTGGCAAAATGTTCATCTGTGGCTTGCAAGCAAATAAACTAATCCCAGTTGCAGGAAAGTTATTGAGAACAACGTCTTTCACAGTGATGTCTTGAAAGCCTGTATGAACCTGTGTGGACGGTCTTGTGGCTGGCGAGGTTACCCTTGTAGCGGAAAGCAGCCTGGCAGCGGTCACACTTGTATGGCTTATCACTGTGGACCTGCAGCATGTGGCGCTTCAGGGCTCCATCTTCCGCAAACTTTGAGTCGCATTCGTTACAAAAGAACGTACCATTTTCTGTTAGACAAAAAAAAAAAGTTATCAATTATCACGTGGATTAGGACTATTTTATAAGCAGCTGGACTGTCCATTAACCGTTTATGTCTGCTTCCCAAATGGCACCCTATTCCCTATATAGTGCACTACTTTCCTTATATTCTCTATATAGCACATAGGGCTCTGGTCAAAAGTAGTGCACTAAATAGGGAACCATTTGGAACACAAGCCTATGTTTAAAAAAAGCAGCTTGTGCTCACCACAGCTGGAGTCGGAGTACTCCGAGTGCAGCTCTGCCATCTCCTCCGCTAAACGGGAGGCCGGGGTGTTGGGACACACTTCAGAGTGCTGCGGGGGAGGAGCGCCACAGGAGGTGCACTTTAAGTGGCCGATGTAGAGAGAGGAGTGGCTGTCAGCGCTCCTCTGTGATCCATCCAGAGATCTGGAGACACAAAACGGCTGCGTGTCAGACATCATTCCTCCACAACAACAATACAGCCGCAAGAGACTGGGGATGGATGGGGGGGGGGGAGGAGACGCTACAAGCAGGCGACCCAGTGGAAGGCCGTTAACTAGGGTAGTCTGAATTATCACTGTTATATTGCTCTTAAATCTTGTGAATTGGGTTTGATGAATAAAAACAGTTAAACTGGAGAGCTTTATTGATATCTCACTGCCTTTACATTTCATGTATTTTTGATTGATTGATTTGCAAAGAGGCAACAAAAGGCATCTTAAAAAGATGCGCCGTAAAGTCCTACACACTGCCCACAGTTCCGCTTTAGTTTTACCTCAGGATTTGTGATCGATTGATCGGTAACACTGTAGGGCTCACCTGTTGATGTTGTTGAGTCGGGAGGCCTGTGGAACCGGCAGGTCCTCTCCGTGCTCACTGATCTTGGGGTTGGCGTGCGGGTCCAGGTGCGCCGAGTCGGAGGGGTGGGGGTAGGGGGGCAGGACCCAGACGCTGTGGGGAGCGGAGCCGCGGCTCCTGTAGCCCAACGTCCTCCTCCTTGGTGGCGCTCTGATTGAGCACGATGAACTTGTACTTCTTCCAGTTGTGTGCCTTGGGGTCCTGGCTTCCCTGTGGGGGCTGGGCACCACACCGGCCAGCCTGGGAGAGGGACAGACCAGCGTTCTTACTGCTGCTGGACTCGGTGGGGGAGTTGGGCTGGCAGTCGGATTTCAGCGGGCTCTGAGGGCTGCATATCAGGCCCTTCCGTCCGGCTGAGGAGATCCCCAGAGGGTAGTGCTGCTGGTTCACGTCTTCCTCTGTTGTCTGAGGACCGTGCTCCTTACCCAGAACCACCTTCTGCTGCTCGTGGGCCGCCCCAGCGAACCCTCTCTTCCTGGAGCCTCCCACCCCACCAGCCTGGCTGACCCCTCCCTCGTGGATCTCCTTCCTGATCTCCTCCTCCCTGGAGGACACGTAGCTGGCCACTGCCTCCCTGGCAGCTGTATGATGAATACTGGCCGAGCCCCCGCTCACCGCCCTGCTATACTCGACCTTCATGGCGCTGCTCGTGTCCGGGGGGGAACAGTGCTTGTGGTGGATCCCGCCTTTAGAGAAGTCAGCGAACGCATTTTTGGCGTCTGTCAGCTTGCAGAGAGGGAAAGGGAACCCCTGGACGGGGAACTGGCCATAGAGGTGGTAGTTGCTGGGGGAGTTGACCCCGTTGAACATGCTGGAGCCGTAGGGCCTCCCGTCTCTGAAGGGGCCGACCCGACCGGGCAGGTTGTCGACCACATCGTGGTGCCGGTATGCATGGACGTCCTGAGGTAAAAGCAAGGGGCTGACCAAGAACTCATCTCTTGGCAGCTTGTTGGCCTGGCCAGGGTCGCTGTGAGGAGGAGGAAGAGTGAGACAACGAAACCTGAACACGGCAGACACTAGATACCAGAATAAACACTTTCTTTGTGATAAATTGTTAATTTTTTTTTACATTCCGTACTTTCTAATTGTTGCTGTGCGCGCCTCTTGACAGGTCGTAATTTGCAAAGAAGACGGTTCTTAAATCGTGCCGGACTCTAGCGTTCTGGTTAGTCCTCCGACTCCAGACCACATTTAAACCCTCTTCTTTAGGATTACCTCCTCTACACTTTTCCCGCTTTTCAATTTAAAAAAAAAGTCTTTCAATTAAAATTGACATCCATTCCCCTGTCCATGTACCTGGATTTGATGAATCTGTGGCAGGTGTCTACAACGTGGTCCATCTGTAGGTAAGTGGCTGTGTTCATGATCGCCATGATCAGACTCTCCTTCAGCGTCAGTCTAGAGGTGTACATGAATTCCAATAGGATGGCGAACCCCTCCGGGTCTACCTTGGGGTCCAGGCTGATGGCATTCAGGTTACACTTCAGGGAGTCAGTAAATATAGTGTAGAACAACCCACTGGAGAGAGAGAGAGAGAAGGAGGGGGGGGGGGAGAGAGAGGACTAGGATTTAATACCATGTACTGTACATAACAGCAACATGGAAACTGTGCTCAAAGCGGAGCCAAGAGTCAAACTGTGATCAAAGCAGAGAGAGAGAGAGAGAGAGAGAGAGGCAGAGAGAGAGAGAGAGGCAGAGAGAGAGAGAGAGAGAGAGAGAGAGAGAGAGAGAGAGAGAGAGAGAGAGAGAGAGAAAGTCAGAGGGGTACAGAGAGCGAGAGGAGGGGGGACAGAGAGAGAGAGAAAGTCAGAGGGGTACAGAGAGAGGAGGGGGTGAGAGAGAGGTCAGAGAGAGGACAGGGAGAGACCGAGGGGGACAGAGAGCGAGAGGAGGGTGGACAGAGGGAGGAGGGGGTGAGAGAGGGGTCAGAGAGCGAGAGGAGGGGGGACAGAGAGCGAGAGGGGTCAGAGAGAGACACAGAGGGGGGGGACAGAGGGAGAGAGAGAGCTGTTTCCTAAAAGCATCTTAAGGCTTCATTCATCGTTCGACTCTTGGTAGGAGCATTGTTAGATCTCAGAGCAGTTTCCCCAAAACCAAACCTAAAAGTTGCTCTTGAAAAACACTTGTTATTTAACATCTGCTTCCAATGAAACCCCAGGTGACTGTATTAACAGATACATGCAGTATAGACCACATAGACCCACAGTGCCATACATGCAGTATAGACCACATAGACCCACAGTGCCTTCACAAAAGGAATCTTTGCGTAAACCATGTGTGAGATCATTTCCACGCAAAATGTGAGATTTATCAATATGAACGTTTGCTTGAGTGTGCATGTAAACTGACACACAGCCACGACCATGTGTATGCACAAGTGGTGGAATGAGGGAGCTGCTTGAGAAGTATACAATTGGGAAAATATAAATGTACAGTGAGGGGGAAAAAAAGTATTTGATCCCCTGCTGATTTTGTATGTTTGCCCACTGACAAAAGACATGATCAGTCTATAATTTTAATGGTAGGTTTATTTGAACAGTGAGAGACAGAATAACAACAAAAAAATCCAGAAAAACGCATGTCAAAAATGTTATAAATTGATTAGCATTTTAATGAGGGAAATAAGTATTTGACCCCCTCTGCAAAACATGACTTAGTACTTGGTGGCAAAACCCTTGTTGGCAATCACAGAGGTCAGACGTTTCTTGTAGTTGGCCACCAGGTTTGCACACATCTCAGGAGGGATTTTGTCCCACTCCTCTTTGCAGATCTTCTCCAAGTCATTAAGGTTTTGAGGCTGACATTTGGCAACTCGAACCTTCAGCTCCCTGCACAGATTTTCTATGGGATTAAGGTCTGGAGACTGGCTAGGCCACTCCAGGACCTTAATGTGCTTCTTCTTGAACCACTCCTTTGTTGCCTTGGCCGTGTGTTTTGGGTCATTGTCATGCTGGAATACCCATCCACGACCCATTTTCAATGCCCTGGCTGAGGGAAGGAGGTTCTCAAACCAAGATTTGATGGTACATGGCCCCGTCCATCGTCCCTTTGATGCGGTTAAGTTGTCCTGTCCCCTTAGCAGAAAAACACCCCCAAAGCATAAGGTTTCCACCTCCATGTTTGACGGTGGGGATGGTGTTCTTGGGGTCATAGGCAGCATTCCTCCTCCTCCAAACATGGCGAGTTGAGTTGATGCCAAAGAGCTCCATTTTAGTCTCATCTGACCACAACACTTTCACCAAGTTGTGTGTTTCACCATTGTTTTCTTGGTGACTATGGTCCCAGCTGCCTTGAGATCATTGACAAGATCCTCCTGTGTAGTTCTGGGCTGATTCCTCACCGTTCTCATGATCATTGCAACTCCACAAGGTGAGATCTTGCATGGAGCCCCAGGCCGAGGGAGATTGACAGTTATTTTGTGTTTCTTCCATTTGCGAATAATCGCACCAACTGTTGTCACCTTCTCACCAAGCTGCTTGGCGATGGTCTTGTAGCCCATTCCAGCCTTGTGTAGGTCTACAATCTTGTCCCTGACATCCTTGGAGAGCTCTTTGGTCTTGGCCATGGTGGAGAGTTTGGAATCTGATTGATTGATTGCTTCTGTGGACAGGTGTCTTTTAAACAGGTAACAAGCTGAGATTAGGAGCACTCCCTTTAAGAGTGTGCTCCTAATCTCAGCTCGTTATCTGTATAAAAGACACTTGGGAACCAGAAATCTTTCTGATTGAGAGGGGGTCAAATACTTATTTCCCTCATTAAAATTCAAATCAATTTATAACATTTTTGACATGTGTTTTTCTGGATTTTGTTGTTGTTATTCTGTCTCTCACTGTTCAAATAAACCTACCATTAAAATGATAGACTGATCATTTCTTTGTCAGTGGGCAAACGTACAAAATCAGCAGGGGATCAAATACTTTTTTCCCCTCACTGTATGTCGGAAATGTGTGAAATTGGGAGAATAGACCTAATAATGAAATATTTTATCTAAAACAGGGCTCCGTTTTGAGCTAACTATTCAAAACAGAGCCATAAGATGTTTCCTTTCCCCAAGCTTGCTATTCAATGAGATATGGGTTGGGAAGAAGGCAGAGGCTTGAAATGATTAGGTTATGGAACCGTGTGATCGACATGCCAGAGGTTTAAAACTGGAATAAAAACACACAATTACCCCTTGGAACACATAATCAATTTGATCTACAACACATTTAGAAAACAAGTTATGATGCAATGTCAAGATGATCAGAACACAAGTTAACCCTTACCTACCAAGAACACAAGTTAACCCTTACCTACCAAAAACACAAGTTAACCCTTACCTACCAAGAACAAAATGTGTCAACTCAAAACTTCTAACCAAAAAAATAAAAATAAACACCTATGCTCTAGAACCCCATCACCTAACAATAATTCTAATATCCTTGTATTGAGAACCGGGATACTGCCTCTGGTTATAGAAGTAGGGAGATTCAACGCCGTAGATGAACAAGAGTGGCTATGTAGAGTCTGATTTATAATATGGAATATAATATGCCATTTAGCAGACGCTTTTATCCAAAAGAGACTTACAGTCATGCGTGCATACATTTTTACGTATGGGGTGGTCCCGGGGATCGAACCCACTACCCTGGGCGTTACAAGCGCCGTTCTCTACCAGCTGAGCTACAGAACAAGGGTGCCTATGTAGAGTCTGATTTAGATGAGTCTGATTTAGAGGAACAAGAATGAACTGCACTTTATTTTACTGTACTTCATGATTTAAGAGAAACCTGTTTTTTTTTTTTTAAAGCAACAACAAAAGAAACGGAACTATTCTGTAGTAGTACTGAAGAAAAACTTGAATGGCTATTCAGAATAAGTGATCCTGGTTGGAAATTTTATTTCCAAAGCTTGGAAGAAGCGACAAGATAAGTTGTACAACTTTTAAAAAAAATTGTTTTGCGTTTCAATTGTTTTCATTTCAGTAGGAATGTAGGTACGTACAGAAGTTTACATACACTCAATTAGTATTTGGTAGCATTGCCTTTAAATTGTTTAACTTGGGTCAAACGTGTCGGGTAGCCTTCCACAAGCTTCCCACAATAAGTTGGGTGAATTTTGGCCCATTCCTCCTGACAGAGCTGGTTAACTGAGTCAGGTTTGTAGGCCTCCTTGCTCGCACACGCTTTTTCAGTTCTGCCCACACATTTTCTATAGGATTGAGGTCAGGGCTTTGTGATGGCCACTCCAATACCTTGACTTTGTTGCCCTTTAGCCATTTTGCCACAACTTTGGAAGTATGCTTGGGGTCATTGTCCATTTGGAAGACCCATTTGCAACCAAACTTTAACTTCCTGAGTGATGTCTTGAGATGTTGCTTCAATATATCCACATCATTTTCCTTCGTCATGATGCCATCTATTTTGTGAAGTGCACCAGTCCCTCCTGCAGCAAAGCACCCCCACGGCATGATGCTGCCACCCCCGTGCTTCACGGTTGGGATGGTGTTCTTCGTCTTGCAAGCTACCCCCTTTTTCCTCCAAACATAATGATGGTCATTATGGCCAAACAGTTCTATTTTTGTTTCATCAGACCAGAGGACATTTCTCCAAAAAGTACGATCTTTGTCCCCATGTGCAGTTGCAAACCGTAGTCTGGCTTTTTTATGGCGGTTTTGGAGCAGTGGGTTCTTCCTTGCTGAGTGGCCTTTCAGGTTATGTCGATATAGGACTTGTTTTACTGTGGATATAGATACTTTTGTAACAGTTTCCTCCAGCATCTTCACAAGGTCCTCCTTTGCTGTTGTTCTGGGATTGATTTGCACTTTTCACACCAAAGTACATTCATCTCTAGGAGACAGAACGCGTCTCCTTCCTGAGCGGTATGACGGCTGCGTGGTCCCATGGTGTTTATACTTGCGTACTATTGTTTGTACAGATGAACGTGGTACCTTCAGGCGTTTGGAAATTGCCCCCAAGGATGAACCAGACTTGTGGAGTTTTAATGACTCCAACCTAAAAGTGTATGTAAACTTCCGACTTCAACTGTATATTGAAAAATACACATTTTAAAAATTAGACCAGTTGATTGGTCGAAAGAACAGACGACTTTCGGTCGACCAAGATTTTTTTTGTCAGGGACATCCCTAATACAGGAAGTACCAGTACCAGATCAATGTGGAGCTATATACAGGGAAGTACCAGTACCAGATCAATGTGGAGCTATATACAGGGAGTATCAGTACCAGATCAATGTGGAGCTATATACAGGGAGTACCAGTACCAGATCAATGTGGAGCTATATACAGGGAGTACCAGTACCAGATCAATGTGGAGCTATACACAGTGAGGGAGGAAAGTATTTGATCCCCTGCTGATTTTGTACGTTTGCCCACTAACAAAGAAATGATCAGTCTATACTTTTAATGGTAGGTTTATTTGAACAGTGAGAGACAGAACAAAAGAAGAACAAAAAAATCCAGAAAAATGCATGTCAAAATTGTTATAAATTGATTTGCATTTTAATGAGGGAAATAAGTATGACCCCCTCTCAATCAGAAAGGTTTCTGGCTCCCAGGTGTCTTTTATTCAGGAAACGAGCTGAGATTAGGAGCACACTCTTAAAGGGAGTGCTCCTAATCTCAGTTTGTTACCTGTATAAAAAGACACCTGTCCACAGAAGCAATCAATCAATCAGATTCCAAACTCTCCACCATGGCCAAGACCAAAGAGCTCTCCAAGGATGTCAGGGACAAGATTGTAGACCTACACAAGGCTGGAATGGGCTACAAGACCATCGCCAAGCAGCTTGGTGAGAAGATGACAGTTGGTGCGATTATTCGCAAATGGAAGAAACACCAAATAACTGTCAATCTCCCTCGACCTGGGGCTCCATGCAAGATCTCACCTCGTGGAGTTGCAATGATCATGAGAATGGTGAGGAATCATCCCAGAACTACACTGGAGGATCTTGTCAATGATCTCAAGGCAGCTGGGACCATAGTCACCAAGAAAACAATTGGTAAAACACTACGCCGTGAAGGACTGAAATCCTGCAGCGCCCGCAAGGTCCCCCTGCTCAAGAAAGCACATATATAGGCCCATCTGAAGTTTGCCGATGAACATCTGAATGATTCAGAGGAGAACTGGGTGAAAGTGTTGTGGTCAGATGAGACCAAAATCGAGCTCTTTGGCATCAACTCAACTCGCCATGTTTGGAGGAGGAGGAATGCTGCCTATGACCCCAAGAACAGCATCCCCACCGTCAAACATGGAGGTGGAAACATTATGCTTTGGGGGTGTTTTTCTGCTAAGGGGACAGGACAACTTCACCGCATCAAAAGGACGATGGACCGTCAAATCTTGGGTGAGAACCTCCTTCCCTCAGCCAGGGCATTGAAAATGGGTCGTGGAGGGGTATTCCAGCATGACAATGACCCAAAACACACGGCCAAGGCAACAAAGGAGTGGTTCAAGAAGAAGCACATTAAGGTCCTGGAGTGGCCTAGCCTTAATCCCATAGAAAATCTGTGGAGGGAGCTGAAGGTTCGAGTTGCCAAACGTCAGCCTCAAAACCTTAATGACTTGGAGAAGATCTGCAAAGAGGAGTGGAACAAAATCCCTCCTGAGATGTGTGCAAACCTGGTGGCCAACTACAAGAAACGTCTGACCTCTGTGATTGCCAACAAGGGTTTTGCCACCAAGTACTAAGTCATGTTTTGCAGAGAGGTCAAATACTTATTTCCCTCATTAAAATGCAAATCAATTTATAACATTTTTGACATGCGTTTTTCTGTATTTTTTTGTTGTTATTCTGTCTCTCACTGTTCAAATAAACCTACCATTAAAATTATACACTGATCATGTCTTTGTCAGTGGGCAAACGTACAAAATCAGCAGGGGATCAAATACTTTTTCCCCTCACTGTACAGGGAGTATCAGTCCAAGATCAATGTGCAGAGGTACTAGGTATTTGAGGTAGATATGTACATGAAGGCAGGGTAAAGTGGATAGATAATCAGGATAGATAATAATTAGTCAAATAAAGTAGAAGCAGCAAATAAGTGCGTGTGTGTTCATATGCGCCAAGTCTTGATTTAGTGCATTATTATAGGGTTATTATAGGGTTATTATAGGGTAAGCATTAGAATAAGCCGCCTCAATATTTTTTGCCACGGGTGATAATATCTAGGAGCTGATCCGTGGTCAGTGTTGTGGAATAATTCTAATGTTAAGGTAAGACTGGAAAGGGAGAACTCTGATCCGAGATGCTTCCTGTCGATCCTCCCAATATCAACATGCCTCAACGACGCACTTAGAGAACGTTCTCTCCGCGTGGTGTTTTGGGGAAACGCACGTAACATCTTTGGCCGTTGCTGGAAAGATGAATCTTTTTTTTTTTTTTTTAAACACTAGTAAGCCTAAATTACAATCGCGATCGGGAAACCGGGCCCAGAACAGTAACAAACTAACTGCGACTTGGCAGATCACTTGGGGGGGGGGGGGGGGGGACGACGACACACACACACACACACAGACAGATCGAGAGAGACAGCAAGAGAGCAGGAGGGTGCAAGAGGGAGGAAAGGGCCTTTAAAGTATCATTGCCATGTACAGAACAGCAACATGCAAACTGGGCTGTTTGGCATGACAAGGACTGACATGATGGCACAAACAGACTGGTACCCATACTAGAACCTGGAGTCAACACACCTGCAGGCCATGAGGACAGTCTTGTGAGCGCGGAACTGCTGTCTGTTGACCAGGATGGCCACGTCCGTGAGAATGTCCCGGCTACGCAGCCGGTTGAGGTTCAGCAGCACGTCGCTGGCGTGACGCGTGAACTGGATGCAGCTGTCTGCTGTGCAAGCCATTTTGTCGAGCTCTGGAAAAATGAAAAAATAAATTCCTCTGGTCAGAGCCACGGACTATACATACAATAGGGTTATATACGGCTCCGATACTGGTTATTCATAAAATACTTGGTATTTTGGGAGGTGAAAACCGGTGGAATATGGTTCAAACTGCAGGGCTCTCCATCCCTGTTCCTGGAGAGCTACCCTTCTGTAGGTTATTGCACCAAACCCTATTCTAGTGCACCTGATTGATCAAATGAAAATCAGGTTAGTTACAACTGGGGTTGGAGCAAACATCTACAGGGTATGAGAGCCCTGGTCCCAAGGCACTAGTTTAATTAGACACATTAAGATATACACGGGAAACCATGGCAGGAAGGCTGAGTGCATCGGGCTCTTTTAATATGGTGCTTATTTTAATATAGGAAAATTGCACTCATCGCTTCTCACCATATCAGTGATTGCAGTAGAGGTTTGCAGCCAGTAGGCGGCGGCATTGAACAGCATAAAGTATGGAGCGTTCAAGTAACATTTTCTGTTCAGAAAGTGGGAGAACACTTGATTTCGTTATTGTTGGCACTCAAACATGAATATCGAGGATGAATGATAGCCTGAACCCTTATTCAAAAAGTATAGGCCTGCATTCGGCAGTCACAAAGACAGTCATAGCCTATGGTTATGTGGCAGCCCATAATTTAATGTCACATAGCAACATTGTCACATTCAGCATGGAAACAGAACAGTTCATGATATAGTTGAGAAATGCAAAACACCAGGTGTAGGCTACTTCTTCCCAAGAATACAGTATACTACACCATACATCAAAATGCACCTGACTGGTTGACACACGGGCTATGACAAATTATAAGGCGACGTGTCTTTAAACGTGTCTTTAAACGTGTCTTTAAACGTGTCTTTAAATGATATCGTGTGTGACGTCATCGGGGCACTTCTGACGTATTGAACATTCTGTATCGGATTCGAACTTGATTATTTTCCATCCGAACCAACACCACACTCCAAAGAGTTACATTTTCCCGCGATCTCGTTAATAAAACAACCGGTACCACATCATTTAAATCACAAATAATCTGGGATGGAGACAACCTTTTTTTTGAGCATGTCAAACTTTTGTGAATGCTCCAGACAATAGTTGGCAGATTTAACTTTACTGTGCACTGATAGAGGATGTCTGAATGATTGATTATCATTATTAATAATAATACATTAAAACTACACTTAAATATTTTAAAGCAATCAAAAAGGTAGATTAAACTGCTCCATGAATTTTAAAATATGATACTTTAAATTCCTACCACAAGATATCCTCAATATATTAAGCTAGCCTAGAAATGTATATGTGTGTTCTTCCGCAATATAAATAGCGGGTAGTCAGGAGGCGCACGATAACACGTTATGGCAGGGTTTCCCAAACTCGGTATTTGGGACCCCAAGGGTGCACGTTTTGGTTGTTGCCCTGGTACTACACAGCTTATTCAAATAATCAACTCATCATCAAGTTCTTATTGTTTGAATGAGGTGTGTAGTGCCCAGGGCAACAACCAAAACGTGCACCCAGGGGGGGTCCCAAAGACCGAGTTTAGGAAACGCTGTGTTATGGCAATAAGATCATTTAATTGCAACGCACGTTATGGCAGAAGACTTGAGCATATTTTGAGAACACTTGTCATAGTTTGTTTGTTTGGGCTACAGTCCGCTTTCTAACGGGTAGCCTAATTTACTAGTAATACCTCATTTTGTCCGTCCAACCCAATGTAATAAATGTTTTTAAACGGACAGTTTCTTCACGTGGAATAGCACGTTGAACCAGCCCGTTCAATAACACGCAAACACATTGGACAAGTAGTATCACTCTGACGCCATGCCAAGTCTTAGGCTGCCACTCGACACCACCCGAAATACATTTTAAAAAGATCATGTATACAAGTAAACAGGCTTTTTGTCAACGGTCAACAGAGGCTGGAACCCACCTATGACTATTGCTTTAATATTTTCCAATTCTCAAAATGTATTTTCGGTTATTCACTTTTCAGTCAAATTCACAGATGAATAAGAGATCCAAAGTTTCTACTTTCGGACACTTAACTACACTTTTTTTTTTAAATCAGACTTCTTGCGTGGAAGCTTAGCAAACAAATAAATTATAATGCGGCAACATTGTATCTTCTAAGCATTCAATTACTGCAACATTGTATCTGTTAATCATTGAAATACTATAACTGCGACATTGTACAGTTTTCCTGTCAGGTTGCCAAAAGTCAACCATCCCTGGCCCCAGACAGATAGCACGCAGGTACAAACTTGTGCACGTAAACTAGGCTGTGGAAAGCTCCGAACTATATTTCCGTGAGGTAGGCGTGTGTGTGGTGGATGGGGTGATAACGACGAGACAAGACAATTCATATCTCGTGCAACCAGATCGATTTGATTATTTTCCTCCAAGACTGTCTGGATTTCTAAAACAAGGTAGTATACCACTACTGACACCTACCCCTGCCCCTCTTCCCCAACACACTGTAGCATAACACCACTGACATCTACCCCTGCCCCTCTTCCCCAACACACTGTAGCATAACACCACTGACATCTACCCCTGCCCCTCTTCCCCAACACACTGTAGCATAACACCACTGACATCTACCCCTGCCCCTCTTCCCCAACACACTGTAGCATAACACCACTGACATCTACCCCTGCCCCTCTGCCACAACACACCGTGCAAGTTACTTAGTTATGCCGATGTGAATCACGTTATAATAAACACTGAAATAATTTCTGTGCAACACCGCTGATATTAGTATTAATACACAAAAATCTAAACTAAGTTTTGCTTAGAATTAAGAAGGCAGCATTTAGTTAAACTGAACTCCTTGTTCATTATTAGCAGTACAGGCACACTAGTCAAGTCTAACAGAATAACCACGTAATGTCATTACTGTTTTGTGATCAGCACAGTACAGTAACAAAAAGCCTCTCCTGTCAAACCGACACAAGGCGAACCGAGAGCCGTGAAGACAGCAGAACATTATAGAAGCAGATCTGTCAAGAGTACTGTCACCCCGCTGAACGGTGCGCTCAAAACAGTCCACCAAACACCTTCAAATCACTTAGGTTTACATGATAAAACACATTCAGAAACACAGACAGCGCTACACCATCACCTGCAACGAAGAGCATAACTTCGCGCCAAATTACATCGGGAAAAAACGAATTTTTTAAAAAATCACCTGATATTGCTTTCCTAGAAACTTCTTGCATCACCACTTCTAAGAACCCCCAGTTCTAAGAATCTGAAGAGCTCAATTCTCAGAATTTGAGCTTGTGGCGATACCACTTTCCGAGGGCAGGGGAGAGTCAGGTTTTAATGCTTTCTGAGAAATCATCTTTCTGAGATTTAGATTTCCGTGCGTATTATACACCATGAGTTAATGCAACAAGTGTATTACAAAAGCAAACTTAAATTATTGCACATTTTGTACTATTTTTCTATATTTTAAGAGAAATGGAGTGGTGTTTTTTTATGCCCCCTACGTTTGGATTCTCCCAGACCTAGATGGTCACATGGGCAGAAGAGTTGCCTACGTCACCCATGCCTCTTAGCCCAGCCCCTAAATTCTCACAACTAATTTGCTATTCCGTGACATAAGCGAAGTGTCCGTTCGTCGCCTTTCCCTTTATTACCGACACAGAACCGAACCAGACTGCTTATTCACACGGACACGCGTTGCATAGGCCGATTTGTTGTGATATTATGTCATTTTTGTTTTTGCTTCTCCTGCAGAGAATATTCATTTTTAAACCCCCCAGTTCTACCTTCACAGCTATGGACTGCTGGCAAATCATCACAAGGGTTTGTTTGGGATGAGATTATATTTGTGAACCAAAGACATTTTGCTTGAAAACTCTCTTAATCACCGGCATTCTCCATTGCTGTAGCCTTTTTGTTGCCTTTGAGGCTGACTGTTATGGCAGGTTTATCTGACTATATGTTTGTCACGGTGGTAGCCTACAGTGTGAGAAGGAAGCTGTGATGTTAGCCTATTTGCTGTGATAAATAGCTTGAATCTAATAGAAACGGGCAATTTGCGCATCATAGAGAGCATAACGCCTTCTGTTGTGGATGCAATAAGTAGCCTATAATGTCATTTAATCAATAGAAAATAATTATTGTAATCGGACTTCTTCCTATTGGTGATTTTTTTAAATGATCCCTTTGATATAAGAAAAGCTTTGGTATACTGGCCGTTTTATAATTGGTTACATTTGTTTAGTAATTTAGGTTATTGCGTTCAGATTGACCATAACCTCTATAGGCTAACAACTGGTTCAATGCTATACAGTTTGTCCTATATAATCGCTGCCGTCCGCTGCTATGCAATGCATTAACTATTTTCGCTCTCTCTCTGACATCCGTCAGCAGCCAATATAACCCACAGCAAACTTCCAAAACTCTATTACGTAGAGTGTAATCTAACCAGAGATGTTCAAATTGCGAATGAAAAACCCTAAGCATAGTATTGGAATAACATGAGTATAAGGCATTCTTTAATGCAACACAAAATGAGTCTACATCCCCTTTAAAACTCTTATTAGCCTTCAAATTAATAAAGACAAATAGGCTGCAATTAGGACAGCCTATCAATTTTAAAAGAAGGAATAATACACAGACACTTCTTCTACCTGCAGCATATTAAAACTTCAAGGCCATGGGCCAACATTCTTAACCCCGCAAAGCGCTAAAACGTTTATCGACTGCTTTTAGACTAATATTAGGCTATTATTCTAACGGACAAATATTTCATTGGTCATTTGTTCTTAGTCCAAATCAGAGAGAATCTAACCAGTTAGCATACTGTTTGAAGTGTGAACCACTCAGGTCGTTGAGTCAAGGCCGAGGCCAACCCTGAATTTCAAACCTCTTAATGCCATGAACTCTAGCGCTCCTAAATAAGCGCAATGAACTGCTCTCTCAGAAGGTGACTCTAATAGCCTACTCGTGGAATGTATTTGTTTA